GTGCGTGTGTGTGTGTGTGTGTCGGATTTAGGAGTTTCCGAAAATAGGGGACCCCAATATAGTACCCTAGATAGTAGGATCCTTATTGTAAAGACCCCAAATAAGGTACCCCTAATTTTCGGAAACTGTCATTTGTCCAACATCTGGCGCCATTACTGGACAAAGGCTGCCGAACGAGCTGCTTCAATTCTTGTTGTGACACAGTTTGCCTACCAGCAAGCACAACAAGACTCTAACATGACGGCTGTACCTGCGGCTTTGCAGAGGAGTCACCCATCCCGAAACCGAAACTTGGCCCTCTACGCCACAACTGAAATCCGCATGTGACCAAACTGATCGATGTCGGATTCTGCTGGGGGAAAGCAGGCTTCTTAAAAGTGCAGGAGTTTAGGTTTGGGATTTATGTCTTTGAGGTTTTATATGTATATATATATATACATATGTATGAAAAAATGCACATACGCATCTACACACCTACACATAAACACTGCGTGTATATATTATATATGTATATATGCATTCATATGACGTACACATGCATGTATGTTTTGGTTTGTACATGCATGCATACCTTCTAGTATCTACCCATAAAAGAATTTGTATGTGTGTGTACACACGCAAGCATGCAAACAGTCAATCGGGCAAACGCTAACACATATATTCATACCTACCACGTACGTGCATACATACACGTGCACAAACAAACACTCACAAACACAGACGCATGGACACATACACACAGACACACACGGACGGGGAGACACTGTGTGCCCAGGCGTCGGTTCCTTGATGAGTGCTTGTCGCGCTTGGTTTGGTGGTCGTCTCCAGGCAAGTGTGACATGTAGTTTCTAGAGACCAGTGCTGAGTCAGGGAGCAATCGGTTTAGTCAGGGTTGCCCTTGCTCCCGCTGGTCGCGGTCGCCGTCGTGATCTTGACCATTGCGGACTGAACCTATTCCAGTATGTCCTGTGCATTGCTGCATTCTCTGCTGTGCAGCAAAAATAGACGTCGTGACCCTCATTTAGGGGGAGCGAACTGTGCGGGCCTGTGAGTCGCTGAAAAATGTCTTTCAACCTTGCTTATCTTGCAGGGTGCTGACGATTCCTTCAGCGGATCAGGCGATGCTGTGCCTGCTTGCGAAGTGCCTTGGGCTTCACCGGTGATTTTATCAGATGCGGGTTTCCTGTTGAGCGACTGGCAGAGACATTGCATTGCGCGTAAATGTGAGAAACAAACCATATTGGCTTTAAACAAACGACGTGAAGCAAAGGATGGTTTGGTTCGCAACTGCTCTGCTTTGGCGGCGCTACACCCGGACGAGGAACCGTCGGGACCGAGCGCATCGTGAGATATTGCCAGTCGCGTGCTGGACCTTCACTTGATTTTTGCTTTTGAAGCTATCCTTCGGCTCGCAAACTTTCGCAAAACCTGCTCAGTGTGAGACATAAGTACGCGGAGCGACGAGCACGGACATAATATACTTTGCGATGGGCACGCACTTGGGATAGGTATGATCATCTGATATATTGATGTAGTTTGTTTGTATCCTTTTTGTACATTCGTTCATTTTTGTACACATAGACGTACATGTATATTGACATGTCTATGTGTTTATACTCAGTTATTTTTTGCTTGTATGTCTATGTTTACATATACATACACATTTGTGTGCTCATAACCATTGCTTGCTTGTATGTTCCATGCTTGCTGGGCTGCAAGTTCCAAAGCCGCACGCCTTTTCAGCAGTCAGCATATGAATGTGGAGGCCACAGAGGCCGTTGTTGACGCTGCCCTTCATCTCCGGCGACCCTTTGTGGTCGTGCCATGCTGCCACTTGGCCTCCTTGGGATGTCTGTTCCCGTTTGCATGATCTTCGTTGCCCTGAACTGTCTGGACTGGTTATCTTGAACCAGGTTGGTGTTTTCTGGCACTTGTGCGTAACCTTACCAGCCCACGCGATCCTTCCTTGGTGGATGCATGAGGATGCATGCAGGTCGAAAGGTCAAGGAAGCTTCATATTTTGAGTGCATGGCGGTGGGATGCACGCATGCAGACCTTTTGACCATCTACTCTTCGCCGTCGGGCAGCCTTTTCTGATCATCACCCAGGTGTCTTTGCGCGGCTTTTCCCCGCCAGGCGGTTTGGGTGTTGTAGACATTTCTTGATTGCGTTATTCAGAGCTCGGGTCACCGGCACAATTGGCCAGATTGTTGATTCAGATTGCTCTTTGGTCACTCTGTGAGGTTGTTCAGGATTTGCGCAGCATCATTGTCGACATCCTGTGTGTTGCCTAAACTTGGCATCAGACGCACCCAAAAGACTTCTTGTCTACAGATGGCCCGAGCATGCAGGCTCTCGTTGAGGCTGATGGACCTTGGGATTACTTTGGCTTACGACAGATCATACATGCGACATCAAGGACAGACTTTCCTACGTCGTAAAACCGATCATGTACCGTCCACCTCACAACATGACCTCAGCACGACCAATTCCGGGAAGAAAAGAGAAATGGGCAGCGGGACAGGGAGCGAGTATGAGTACTTAAGCAGTAGCAGCAGCAGTAGCCGCTGCCGTAGCCGCGCTGTTACAGTGTAGCGGCAGCGGCAGCAGTAGCAGTGGCAGTAGTAGTAGTAGTAGTAGTAGTAGTAGTTGTTGTTGTTGTTGTAGTAGTAGTAGTAGCAGTAGTAGTAGCAGTAGTAGTAGTAGTAATAGTAGTAATAGTAGTAGTAGTAGTAGCAGTAGCAGTAGCAGTAGCAGTAGCAGTAGCAGTAGCAGTAGCAGTAGCAGCAGCAGTAGCAGTAGTAGTAGTAGCAGCAGGAGCAGCAGTAGTAAGGCTAGAAGTAGTAATCGTAGTAGTAGCAGCAGTAGTAGAAGAAGAAGTAGTAGCTTCGAGCTTCGATCGCAGCGGACGTCCGATCCACCAAGTGTCGGTGTAGAGCAAGCCGGATTCGGCACACAACCTCGGGTTGCCTCGAGAGAGTAGTCTCAAACCTGCCACCGTTCCGATGAACGCAGAAGTAGGAGTCGTAGTGGCAGTTGTATTTGTAGCAGCAGCAGCAGCAGTCGTCGTCGTCGTAGTAGTAGTAGTAGTAGTAGCAGTGGCATTGGTAGTGGCAGAGGTAGTCGTAATGCTCGTGTTAGTGGCAGCATTAGTGCAGGGGCAGTGGTAGCGGTCGTAGTCGTGCTTGGTTGTTGTGGTTGTGGCTGCGGCTGTAGCAAACGGAGTCGTCGCAGTAGTGGCAGCGGCAGTGGTAGTAGCAGTGCTGCAGTGTTGTAGTATTGACAGTCATTTAAGTACTTGAGGATTGTTGGGAGCATTGCTACGAGTAAGTATAATCAGTACGAGTATCGCATCTTAGGACAAGAGCTGCGTCGCAAGCAAGGGTTGGCAGTATATAGGTGCCCACTGCATGACTGCACTCGCACAACTGCTCGTTTCGCAAAGAAGCAGGGCTGCTTTGTTCGACTCAACCTCACATCATTTGAAAGCCCAAATCGAGAATCGATACTATCTTATCGGCGGCTGTTAATGTGGTGGCCCTCCCTGCAGTCCAAAAAAACCTGAACCCTACATTGTCATGCAAAATCAGGACTGTGGGGCCCGCAAATCGTTGCGTTAATACTGGAGGGCAACGAGAAAGCATAGTGGTATAGATACAGCAGCAGCGGCACGAACATCGACTCTAAAGTGATTGAAGTAAGCATATAGTAAGCATGTCCCAGGTCGCTTGGTGGGCGTGCAGTTGCGACGCTGCCGGAGCTCATGGTACAAGGGTCAAGCTTCGCCACAGTGCGCGTAATCATAGTGGAGGCAAATGTGGGACTGGTACTAACAGTGGAGATATGTCGTCCAGCTCTTGCACAACATGTCTTGGAATGAAGCATTTTACTATAGTAGCCTTCGAACTTCGTAGGCCGAGGCCAAGGAACCACAGTTCAGCGCCGTGACGGATTTGTCGTGAATCTCTGCGAATCCAGACCTAGGCAACGAGCCATAAAGTGCGACTGTGACGCATTTACGGCGTTACCCGGCAAACACCAGAAGCACGCTAAGCATACAGCGAAGCCGTGCTGAAGGACTTTCGCGAATTCCTTCGCCGAAAGCACCCGAGCATTCGCGAGGAGCGGGGTCTTTTTTCGGAGGCTGCTTTGTGGTTTTCCCAGAACTTACAGGACCGCGCCTCCTCTTTTTGCTGACCCTGTTCCGTCAACGTGTGATTCGAAGCTGGTGAAGTCAACATCCGACATATGTCGCGACAGGCATAGGCCTAGGGACCCAGGAACCCCAAATGCTTTGAAGGAGGTCCTTCCATTTGCTGGAGCGAACGTGGCTTTGTACGCCTCTTTCAATGATCATGAAGACATCGAGCAAGAGCTCGCTCAAATCGCTGATAGAAAAAGTCGCCGACCGTTTCTGTGCAAATCCTGTTGCCAGGGGCGCGAAACATGCCGGCACTGACACTGTAGTGTGTCGCATTTCTTTCGCTTGCTGTAGGACATCCGGTCATGTTTTGACGTCCTTTTTTCTGGCAAGTAGCTTGTCCCAAGTGGAAGCCCTCCGTACCACGTTGTCCTCATGCAGTGATCTGTAAGCTTGACGCTCGACTTTTCGCGCAATCTAGGCGAAGAAGGGTACCACTAACATTCGGTCCTGGAAACAGCTGTTCAGCAGCAACTTCTTATCCCCTCAGCACTGAGAGTAATTTTGGAAAGCATGCTCCCGCACATCAGCGTTCTGTAATTCCTGGCAAGCTCTTGGCCAGCGGGACAATTCAGAACTCCCGCCAAATGCAGATTGAGAAGTTCATCGTCTGTGGATAGATTGTTTTGTACAGCCTTCGTCTTAAGCTCACATGGTGTAGGCCACTGATTTCAGACGATGTCAACAAATCGCCAGCACGGTTAACTGGCTCAGCAAGCTAGTTTTGTTGTGGGTGCCCCGACGAGCATGGCTTTCATACCGCGACAGCCGCCCTGTATCCTTTTGTCGTGCTGCCAAGGCGCGAAGACAATGGCTCGGAGGCCAGCGAGCAGAGTAGCAATCTGCGAGGTGACATACGACAGTGCGCAGTGCGAAGGGAGTTTGTTGCATCCACAGATCAACCGGTTCGACTGAACTTTGAGGGCTCTTGGTGAAAATACAAACGGGTGCCGATTCCAAATGATTCCAAGTACGAAGGATGCGGTTGCTCTAGAGATATGGTCTTCGGCGTCCAGAGATGATCGTCAACTTTCTTCAATCTCCAATGAGATGCGTTCATTCTTTCTTCAGGAGCAGATTCAAAATCTAAAGAGCAATTGCTACAACGCTAGTGACCAACGGCAGAGACATGTATATGCTGAAGGAGAGGATGCTGAAGATTTTGCTGAGATTGCCTAAAGCTGGAGGATCTTTGCAATCTTCAAGACGTGATCGGAAAGCTTTTCGGAAGCCGGAAGTGTGTTCCACGTCCAGTGCAGTACCACTTGTACAACTGCGCCTGTAAACTGCAGAGAAACTGAGCTGTACATGCACGGACAAGGCTGCATGATGAAATGACGCGTCGCATTTTCAGAGACGAAGTCGGAAGCTCCCATCTTTCCGTTGCGATGTTTAACAGAAAGTACTGAAGCTTGTAAGAACCCGCAAACCCTGATAAGTCCTAATCCTGAGCTCGGTACCACGAATCCAAACCTGATGAAAAGTCTCCTTTGCTCATACTATAGACCTTGCCGACCTCAATCCGAGTCTCCGTTTGGATGGAGGTGGATGTGGCCCACCTGGCTGTCCTTCAACTGCAAAGTCCCGTGTCGGGGCCCCAAGTCCCCGACCCCGGCACTTCCCACCCCGGTCATACCTTTACCGTTCCGATGTCAGACGACAGCTGTGGATCACAACCGAGGTTGAAGGCCATGCTGCGATCTGATATGCAGGAGGCAAAGACCCACTGTGCCAGAAGCTGAGACCGAACTGCCGATCGGAGCAGACGCACTAAATACTGATTCTACCAGCTCGCTGCCCCGGCATGTCATCGGTGTAGGGTCCTTCACCAATTTTCCTAGAGCTCCATGGCTTTGGAGGCTCGAGGAGGTTCTGTGCTCCTGCTGCTGCTACCACTACTACTACTACCACCACGACGACGACGACTACTACTACTGGTACGACAAAACGACTAAGGTTACGACTACGACTTACTACGACTGCTATTCATGGGATAATAGGAGTATGTAGTCGTGGCATAGGTAGTAAGTGCACTCGTCCTGGGCGTAGCATTGATGCTTGTTACTCCGGTCTTAACACACCATTGCAGCTGCAACTGCTGCAGTTGTTGCTGTTGTTATTTCTTGTTTTCTTCGGCTCCTCGTAATGTCAATGCTGCTTCTGTTTGTCGCTTCTCGTTCGTTTGACTTGTAAGCCAAAGCTTTTGGATCAATGACTTGGGAGCTTGCAGGTCCAGGTCCAGACGGAGTTTGCCGATGTTTGGCCGAATATCATCCGTTTTTGGTATGGCCTGCCCGTTCCATGCTCAGGGAGGAGGGCTGCAAGCAGTTCTAGTGAGGGATTTCCTGGTTAGCTTCGGCCAGACAGGGATTAGCTTGGCGTCTCTTGCAAGCCCACATGTGCTGATGAAAGCGACTTGGCAGTATGCTGATGCAGAGTTCTGTTCTGGACAACCCCAAAGGCGGTGGTCTGGAACTGCCGGCAGCCACACGCAGTCGCACATGCGTGTGCGCACACACAGGCACACACGCACACACAGAGACGCACAGAGAGACACACAGACACACACATACACACACAGGCACACGCACCCACCCCCACACACAGGCACACAGGCACACGGGCACACGCACCCACCCACCCACCCACCCACCCACCCACACACCCACACACACACACACACACACGCACACACGCACACACGCACACACGCACACACGCACACACGCACACACGCACACACGCACACACGCACACACGCACGCACGCACACACGCACACACGCACACGATCGAAAGTCTACTACGACTACTACGAGCCCGGCTACACAACAGGACCCATCACGCAAGGATGAAATCTTCACTTGAGCGCCATGTCTAGGCTCTGAATCCCTGCATGCTCAACCAAATTCTCTAGCCGCTAGCCCGAAGGTTCATGTCTCCAGCTTCGAGACGGCCGTGACATTGCGAAGGGTGGCTCAGTACTATGCACCTTGGCCGCACTACTTGAGGCTACGGATCGAAACAGCGGGAAGTCTGGCTGAGATCGCGACCAAGCCACTTCTGCGACACTGTCACGCATGCATCGGAAGTAAGTGGAACTATGGAGTCGTCCAATCTCAGTAGTGATCGTTGAAAGACGACAATGGTAGATACAAAAGTGTGTTCTGACTGTACTCTGGACAGCAGGAGTAACCCTGATATGCACCCTAGTCATACAACTCTTACATTTGCATATATATAGATCAAGTTTCCGAACGCAGGAGTCTGACGAGCTGAAGGCCATCACAGTGGATTTGCTCATGGCGGCCAGGCAACCGACTTCGGGTTCAGGGGCTTTGGGATGGGCCGGATGAGTTGTATGACCCGCTTGAGGAGCTACTCTACTTTCCCTTTTTCTCTGTCCTTGTTCTCTCATAAAAGTTGATTTTGCTGCTCAACTGGGCGAATGCGGGCGACATGGTGCTGAAAGAGCCAGCATTCTTGAAGAGAGGCATCATATGCAGCAGCTGTACAGACACGAGCACAGATGGATCTTCTAGTTACATCTTCATTCTCCTTCTCCATTGCCCACTCTGCATCTATCGTGCTTGCGAGCTTTCGCCGGGAAAACGAAAACTTGCAGTCCTATGTATACCAGCGCATTCCAAACGCGAACATCTGCTGACATCCATTTCCTGCTAGGCCATCTGCGGCTAGAATGGCGCTGGTGGCCGAGAGCTTGAGCAACTTGTGCTGATGCATAAAATAGGTGCATGCGTATATAGATATACATAACACTTATTATAATGAACCGAGATAACATAATGAGTGGTCTTTATCCTCGCACACGCCACTCCGTCAAAACCTGGCACAACGGCGACCCTTATAGATATTCCTTGACAAGCATGCGTTCGTCCCCGTGAGCTGTTCTGACGAGTACAGCTTCTTCGCCGGTGTAACATCTACTTTGCAGGTGCGGCCTTGGTGTTATGTGTGGTGCCACGGTTGGCATCCCTCCATGCCCGTTTTCAATGCAGGGCCGTTGACTTTACCCTGTAGCCTCAACGTGCCAGAGAGGCTCAATAAAAGTACATGTTCTCGGTCGCCTTTAAAGCTTGATCCACTAGCCCTTCGTTCCCCGAGGCTTTGAGGCTGAGTTTGCAGATCGGGCATGGAGCTACCTCGAGGTCCTGGGCCGCACTCATTCTTTCTGAGCATATACGTCGAGAATGCAAAGTGAAGCTTTTACGCGAGGTTTAATTTGCTCAAAGTGTCCTAGGGGCAGGGTAGAAGTTGGCTGCTCGGGATCGTGCGATTGAGCGAGACCTTGGGCTGATCGCTGTGCAGAAGTTCAGAAGTCAAGAGAGCAGAATGGGTTCCGAAGCAAGCACCCTCGAGAGTTGAAAATCAAGAATACATACAAGGGCTTTCCTGCGCAGGCCCACCCTCGTGAGCTGTTTGCTTCGTCGGCGTGGCCAAGGCATTCCTTGCATGTCTTTTCTTTGGTCCGAGCTTCAAGTATGAAGTTGTGTTCTGAAAAACCTGTCGTAGTGTGCACCGAGCCGGTAGCAGGCGACGTTGCGAAGTTGTGTGTGCATGCATGAAGGACTCAACGATTACAAACGATTGTGTGGAGATTAAGCGTCCGCATGGGAATCGGTATTTTCAAGTCTCTCCACACAGCCAATCTGCATCAAGCTGTGGCGGGAAGCACCATGAGTTGCGCCTTAAGTAGATCCGGCTGCAAAAAAGTTTTTTCAAAAGCTCCTCGGACCCAAGTTCCAAGACACTGCGAAATAGCCTCGGGCCTTCTTGAAGTTGAAAGGTCCTTCGCTGGACTTATGCAAGCCTCTATGCAAAATCAGAAGGGACCTGTCGAGCTCAGTGGGTCATCAGTTTTCGCCAGGCTTTCGGAAGCCACGGTTGCCGAGCTGTTGAGGCACGGCCTTGATGACTTATGCACGGGAAAGATTTCGGATTTGGGATTAGAACTAGAGGAACCCTTTGTTTAGCAATCAGCACACTGAGATGTGTGAGTGGGACATTGGTGGGGAGAGCGATGCTGTAGCAGCCCAGTGGCCAGCAAGCTATCTGGCACAAAGAGATCGTAGACTGTGCACAGGCCTCAGCACGACCAATGCAACACCCGCCCTTCACGAGCACAGCGACCCATTTGCCAGGCCTCAAACATCCAAAGAGCATACACTGCTGCGACAAAACGGCTGCACTCGTTCCGAATTTCCTTTGGGGTTTTGGGTTGACGGGAGCCATGCAACGACACCGAAGCACTCGAGAGCAGACACTGCCACACAATGGACAAGCAGCCTACGCAGCCACCAAACTTTAATATGCATGGGAACGCAAAGTCCCAAACCAGAAAGTATAAACATGTCGGTTGTTGTTGAAACCCTAAGCCCGAGCCCGGAGGGCTCTCTGCTGAGAATCCACAAGTCTGGACATTGTAAAGCTAAACCCCGACTCGACCTAACTAAACTCATATACACCAAATTCCTCGCAACTCTGATGTTACCCCACAGCAGAAGTCCTGCAAGCACAACGCATGCCGTAACACCTTAACTGCTTGGAAACCTCCCAAACCAGCAGATCCCTAACACTTACTCCGCAAGGTTTGTAGCTAACCCCTTACATCCCGCCGCTATAGCTCCGAAACAACGGAACACTACACCGCCCTGCGTCCTAAACCCCTCAGCCGGACGTCGACTCTGAGCGCCCGACGCCACTAGACGACTGAAGCCTGACCCTATAAGACCTGAAACCCTCCAAGGCAGCCAACGGCGCCGAATATGTACAGGAAATGGGCAAATTTACCATGCACAATGATAGCACAAAAGCATAGAGCCAGTAATTTACCCCAAACCCCCTGGTTCCCTGAAGGCGTGACGGTGTGCGCTGTAGGGAGCCCGGACTCCTCAGGGCTCTTGCGCGCTGGGCGCGTGCAAGGCGGCCCACATGATCTGGGCATGGGATTTGCTCTAGAACTTCGGGAGAGCCGACATGAAAAAGCCTTGAAGAGCCTTCGAACTTCGTGGGGTTCAGTACAAATGTGCAGCGGTTGAGGTTTTCGTGTGGCATGGACGGGGCTTGGGATGGGCGTTTAATCGGGCATGTACCCGCCCAAAAGAACCACATGGCAGATTCACGAATGGGGTTCGGCACCTTTGGTATCTAATTCAAGTACTACGCTGTGGGGTTTCAGACTTTTCGATCTTTTCAGTGGAATGCTGCAGATCTGATGTTGGCGGTCCCAGCTGAAGCTGTGCCAGGCGGGACAATACCCCGGAGACAGGCCTGTTCGATGTGTGATCGTTTAGAATCATTGCCCCCGATCTGTCAGGAAAAGCAGACTTTATAGCCTGCGGAAGCTTCAAGTTCGGGCTTCATTGAGCTGGAATTGGGGGATTTAGTTAAGTATTTTACATGTCATGGTCGGCAACCCATGCCTTCAGTATGAACAAGTCGGGGCCGACAGATCGAGGTGCCACGGAAGCTTGAAGGGAGGCGGACCGCATACATGTAGCCAATGAATGAAACAGTTTGCACTGCATACCATCCGTGCCCCATTACATTATCTGGCGAGTGGACTAGACCCCATCGGCATCCCAGGGCATGCAGAGCATGTGAGGCCGCTTTAGTCTCGGACTCGGACATGCAAGTTTAGGAAAGCATTTGCAGTGTACATCTGCTTCTGGACACTCGGAAAATCGAGTTCGGTTTGGGCCTCACACGACAAGTTGTTCGGATAGCGGTTCGATATGAATCTTTGAGGATTTGCGATGCTCGGAGAAGCGGACGCAGCACCAGAATCCAACTTCCTCGGTGTTGTAAAGGTGCTTAGTATAAGCAAGCAATCGAAGGATCAGCCTGAAGCCCACGACCAGAAGCTGCGCTGCACAATGCCAGGTGCCTCCGGCGATGGCTCGAGGTGGTCAAGCATGCACATGTATGGTGTTTTCTCGGTTGATGACAAATGTTGTTTGTACAGCTATATGTATATGCATATGATGTATGCATGTATAATTACATGTATGTTCACACATGTATGGATGTGTGCCCATGCATGCAGATGTAAAGACGACAGCTTTGACTTGTTAACCTGTCGCAAACGGAAAGATGAGTTGGCGTTGTCTGCTCTCGGATCCAAACTCTGGAATTCTAGAATGTAGGCGTGAGATGCTTGTTTTCGTGCGGGCTTCTGAACGCCGGGTATTCCGGCCCGACTTGTTCGCACAGTCTGCGATTTGCTTGGTGCAACATGCAGCGACGCTCCCAAATGCTTCTCGATGCTCTAACATCGCATGGAGTGATGCACCACGAAAGAAGCTGGTAGTTAAATCTTGCACATCATGTTCAACACCCTGCATAGTACTGTGGCATCTTCCGAGTCTTTGTGTTCCGGGCCTAGTGGCATGCCCCTCGACAGCAGCGACGCTCACTGGACCACATCCCGAGACCGGTGCGATTTCTCCGCCAGGCCAGGAGTGGTGGTGCTTCCGGAGGCTGCAGCGAATCGGGGGACTATGGGAACAGGAACCTTAAAGAAGTGAGACTCTTGCTTTTCATGTGCTTCGGGGCATCTCTGAGCGCACTTGTGCTGCCCTTAAGCCTTCTGAGCCTTTTTCTTGCTGCATCCTATGTGGGGTGAGACACTTCCAACACAAAGAGCTTCAGCTTTCCAAGCATGAGGGAGGCCCTGAGGCCGAGTTGCATCTCGCCGGCCTCAGAACATAATAACAGTAGTAATAATAATAATAATAGTAATAATAACAATAATAACAATAATTCTAATAATAACAATTATAAGTCGGAATTGCAGGCATTGCTTCAGCTGGTCCGCTTTGAGAACATGTCGCCAAGCGAGCTTCGATCGGCTGCGAAGCACCTGGCCAGAACTATGCTTAAGCTCGTATTACTGTGCTTGCTATGTGATATTACCCGGGGTGGTAACGATATGCAGCACAGCGGTAGTCCGAGTGCTCAAAAAAGGGTCTTGCACCCTGATATCGAAAACACGGTGATTGATAGCGACTCCAATTTAGGCTGCCTCTGCTTTATATATTCCAGCATATCTGAGGGTCGAATCCAGGAGAGGCACTTAACCTTGTTAATTTTGCGCCCTATATCTACAGTCAGACCTGCGGCATCCATGTGACGCCCTGAGCAATGAATTAGGCCCCTGGATCCATAAACTTTTAAAAACCATCAATTTCCTACTTGCAATGGTCCACAAGCGGAGGCGGGTAGTTGCAGAAACATTCACAATTAATGCACAACAGCACGAAACACAACGCCCACCTGTAAGACAGTGGCTTGCGCTAGGCAGCAATCAACATCCAGTACGTAACCTCGACAGGAGCATATTTGGAAAGGATGCGGGTGGTTACAGACAGCTGTGCAGAGGGTTCGGGTTTGGGAAGTAACACGTACTTGACCTTGTTTGAGTTCCCCATAGCACACGACAAGGCATTGCGTATAACGAATCGGAAATGACATGAAATGACGACGCATCACGAGCTCATGACACACATCTACACAATTCTACTCACATACACACAACAGTTCGTACTAAGTCGTAGGTCCGTTATAACTCCAACAGAACATAAGCCTTGCATTCATAGGCTTGAGAGTTACGACTCCTTGTCGGCTGTGGTATGTATTCTCTTGTTTTATGTGTTGTTTTCAATTCTTGCTGATGGAGGGTCCTGATCATGTTGGTGACAAGGTCCAGGGCCGTTCAAAGTGCATGAGCAATTAGACACTCCTAAAGCCTCTGTTGAAGTTTGCGCGGAGTGTGAAAAGACACTGAAAACTAAATCGTTGGTTAAACACAGACAGATACAGACAGCTAATGCGTTGGTCTTGTGTAGTTGATATATGTAAGGCTCAGACGTCCAACTAGAGCGTTTTGTTGCGTCAGATACGGAACTGGAGCGAGCTCTTATGAAGAACTGTCCTTCGCGGGTGCGGTGTTACGTGTTCCAGTTCTTGAGGCTATTGGCAACCCTGGTCACCGGTCCCTGCACGTTACCCCTTACATTGCAGTATAGACTTACTCAGGCCGGTGCTACCAGCGGAACGCTACATAGAACTCCTGGAGGAGGCAAGGTTTCAAGACTTGCAATGTCCGAACTCCATGACAAGTTCTCAATTACAATGTGCTACAGCTGCAGGGGTCGCAGGAGTTGGGTTTGCATGCCCGAGTGTTCGCGACTCCATGCTATATTCTATGTTAGCAGCGGGCGCACATGCGTTGGAGTTCGGTAGGAGGTGTTTGATGCAACACACGCAGGGCAATGTTGGGGCTGCACAGATCCAGAACCTGAATCCATGCCAAACCCTGAAGCGGCAAACACGCATCTTGGAGGTCAGCGGCGCTACACCAAGTCGTCAGAAGCGTTCGGTTCGAGCCGCTTGGTGTCAAAAAGTGCAGTCGGAGTCTGGGAATTTCATTCCCTGTGCTAGCGGTTGAAGCGTCCAGCATTCGATCAGTTTCAACTGTTATGCTCAGTCAGGCAGTTGAGATGCAATTCAAGTCCATGGAAACCTGAAATTTCCGACCATTCGGGCATATTGCGGGAGGGAACATAGGGGGTGCGAGGAGAGGGCCAAAGCCTTGGAAAAAGAGGTTGACACGAGGGTTAGGCAGGGTGAGACAGACAATGCGATGCTCACCAAGAAGAGACTTTAAGACCACAATCTTCCTTTCATCAGATTGTTGGAGGGCAGACCGGGCCTTGGGCCTCTTGGCATCCAGCATGCGGACGCCCTAGTTTCCCCGACTTTTTGGCGGGAGCTACAGCGATTCTGGCCCCGCTTGAAGCCAAAGAGCTACATACACCCGGCTAAAGACACACTGGATTATGAGCTTCAGCATGCTCGTCGACCCCGTGGAAGGCATGAAGGTGACCTACGTACACATTACGAAAGCTTTCAAGACAATTACTGAATTGCTGTATGCAGTTGTTGGAGTGCAGGCACCCCTTGCACACTCAACGTGATCTTGAGCCGAAAGATCCGCGAAGCTCGACTGCTTGCCAGGAGCGTCCCATGCGACCGTTTCGATGCAACGTCTGCGGCGCGACACTAAGATACTGGCGGGGAGCGGGGGGAGGTTTGGGAGGCGGGGGGCAAGATTTAAGATTCTCACGTCAGTACTTGTGACCTCTACAGCAGCGGGAGACAAGGATGGGCAAGGCTTACGTCAGATTTCGCAATTGGCATTGAAGCTTTGTGCTAGTAGGTTCGATGCTGAATTTGCTCATCTTCAACATCGGTGGAAGTTCCGATGAATTCCTTCGGTAGTAGGCTGTGGCGTAAAATGACTGAAGTACACTGCCAGGAAGGCCTGTCAGCAGTGGCACAATGGCACATGAGGACCCCCTTGCTGCGGAAATCCCGGCAGCAGCGGCACATCACTGCGTGTCCCGAAAAACCTCCCCAAGCCTCGTGAGAAGTAGACCAGAGACTTCTGCAATCATTTCCCCAAAGCCCTCCGGCCTCGGGGATCTCAGTCTTCTCTCGAAGCCGGATCACCGAGGCATCGAAGTCTTCGTGACAACTGAGTCGGGAGTGCCAGGCCAGGCGGGATCCTTGCAAGAACGAGCACCAAAAAACGGCAGAAGCAGCAGTTGCTAGCTAATGTTTTGAACCATTGTGGCCGCTGCAGCATACACCGGAGACACTGCCCGAAGCTTCCGAACACCTTCCCAGAAGCACACACCAAACTTGAAACCCTCGCTGCTACAGCGAACCCTATCATGGAAACCCTGAGATTTCAATTTAGCAGCCCTGAACTGTGTAAAGGTGATGCGGCGGGTGACGGTGGCATTGTCACTGCAGATGGCGGGCCGCTGCCAGAGCACCACTGCCATGATTGATGGGGGGGGGGGCATATCTGTTTAGGGTTCAAGGTTCAGGGTCGGCTCCGTGCACCTATCATGGGTGATGACCTCAACAATATTCTTGGAGAAAAATTGCCCAAAACATCAAGTTTTGCGCTACTGTACAGAGTCAACGCCGGACCCCTGAAGCGCCTTGACCCAGTACAAATACAACGACGCAAATGGAAGCGGTCGTTCAAACATGACTTCGAAAGACATGCGTGAAGGTTGCTGCAGCAAACGTATGTTGGATGCAGAACAACCCACATTGCCTGCACGCCGTCGTCGTCGCAACAGCAACGGCAACAGCAACGGCACAACAACAACAACAACAACAACAACAACAACAACAACAACAACAACAACAACAATACCAGCAACAACAAAACCAAGAGCGACGACGACAACGACCAGCACCAGAAACAACACCAGCACATTCACCGGTTATAGCACCACCACCGCCGCCACCACAACCACCACAACCACCACCACAACAACAACAGCAGCCTCAACCACGACTGACCAACAACCGCAACAGCGACGACTTCATGCTTGTAACAACGGCAGCCAAAAGCAACAGCAAAACATGAGCAATTGCAACAGCAAGAGCAGCAGTAGCAACAGCAGCATCAGCAGCAACAACACCAACAACAACAAGAACAACTACAACTACGACCACCACCACGACAGCAACCCCACCCACAACCCACCAAAACAACAACAAAAACAACAAGTCCTATTGCTGCTACTACTACTACTACGACGACTACTACTACGACTACGACTACCACTAACATTGAAGCTACCACTACCACTACTACTGCTACTACTACTACTACTACTACTACGCCTGCTGCCACTACTACTACTACTACTACTACTACTACTACTACTGCTACTGCTACTGCTACTGCTACTGCTACTCCTACTACTACTACTACTACTACTACTACTACTACTCCTACTCCTACTCCTACTACTACTACTACTGCTACTACTACTACTACAACTATTCCTCCTCCTCCTCCTCCTCCTCCTCCGCCTGCCTGCTGCTGCTGCTACTGCTTTCACTACTGCTAGTCGTACTCCTACTCCTACTCCTACTCCTACTACTCCTACTCCTACTCCTACTCCTACTACTACTACTACTACTACTACTACTACTACTACTACTACTACTACTACTACTACGTCTACTACTACTACTACTACTACTACTACTACTACTACTACTACTACTACTACTACTACTACTACTACTACTACACTACTACTACTACTACTACTGCTACTGCTACTGCTACTGCTGCTCTGCTCCTCTGCTCTGCTCCTGCTCCTGCTCCTGCTCCTGCTCCTCCTGCTCCTCCTGCTCCTGCTCCTGCTCCTGCTGCTGCTGCTGCTGCTGCTGCTGCTCCTGCTCCTGCTCCTGCTCCTGCTCCTGCTCCTGCTCCTGCTCCTGCTCCTGCTCCTGCTCCTGCTGCTGCTACTGCTACTGCCACTGCTACTGGCGCTGCTACTGCTAATGCGAGTGCTAGTGCGACTGCTACTGCTACCACTACCGCTACTGCTGCTACTGCTAGGGCTGCTGCTACTACTACTACTACGACGACTACGACTACGACCACGACTATTGCTGATCATCGTCTTGGCCGAAATGGGTCGTCATGTTTCTTTCTGTTGGCACCCGCTCCTTGCTATCTTTTGCCATGCATCTAAGTTCTGTCCATATAGTTAGTCCAAGTGAATGAACCTTAGCACGCAAGCATGACTTGCTGGTTAGGTGCCCTGAGCTCAAGTAGAGCTCTTGCGGTGGAGCGTGTTGATTTGCAGCATCTGGCAGGCAGATAAGAAAAGGCGAGTCAACATGCACATGGGTGGAAGATGTTGGCAGTGTACAAAAACACGCATGCATTCCAACAAGCTGATAAAGACAGCTGTACGCTACCTTTAATTTCAAGGATCGGTGTGCTGTCTCACTTCCCAGGTGCCGTCGATACCACCCTGGCTTCACGTGGAACGCGCTTGCCTGTGGACGCCTCGGGCAGCTAACCCTAAACACGGAACCTATAATTAGTTTGCCAAGAGTGCCTCAGCGGCGCGGCAGATCCAAATTGGTGCTTCGATTGAGTTGCATTAATAACTGATGCTTCTGGGACGTGGATTGTGACTTTACACCCTAAACCCTAAGCTTTCCTAAACCCAAACCCAAACCCATGGCTGAATGAGGGAGTGCTGCCATGCAAAATCGGCACACTTCGCAAAACCGGGTGAACGATCACGGGTTTAGACCTTGGAATCGTGACATTGTTACAGTCAAGCGTGTGCCAGCTGGCATCCCAGGCGCCGATCACAAAGGCAAATGCCCGGTACTCAACAAGCAAGTGAACTTCGCTGCCAGCATTCATGCATGCCAGCACGAAGCCGTCTCAGTGTTGCAGGCGGTAACCGACCTCGTGGGATCAGCACTCAAAACGATTGAGAGTTTAGCATTCAGCACATGCAGACTGACAGACATAGTTGAGCACAGCTGCGCAATTGTTCCCACCCCAGCCGAGCCCTCGACCAAGCACGCCAAGCGTCTCAGCTTCCCAAGTCCTGCCGCCAACCACAAGCCATAGCTGTATCAGACGTATGCATTCACCCGCTACTGTTTAATAGTAAGGTTCTACGTGCAAGCGCTGCAACAGTGCGCGCTGGACCTGCTGCTCCTTGACTCAATTTGGATGCATGGTGCGGTGATTGGTCAGGCTTCAGACTTATATGGCTGAACAATTCTATATATTCAGAACATGGTTCACAATTCTGGCCACTGGATTCTATATGCACAACCAGACTTCCGAATTGCACATACACAGCTTTATTGTGCATGTTTGCATGTACGCAAAGTAGCCATGTATGAAATCATGAATGCATGCTGGTTTTTATCCGGCCGCGTGCCTTCTGACGTTGATCCGTCCGTCCCTCGCTCCCTCCCTCCCTCTCTCCCTCGTTCGCTCGTCTCTGTCTCTGTCTTTGTCTGTCTGTCTCTCTCTCCATCTCTCTCTCTCTCTCTCTCTCTCTCTCTCTCTCTCTCTCTCTCTCACTCTCTCGCCCTCTGTTTTATCTCTTTCTCCCTCCTCTTTCTTTCTTCCCATGTATACAGCATTTATGTGTTAGCTTATGGATAAATTTGTGTGTGTATGCGTATGTGTCTCTGTCTAGGTGCTCTTGTACATATATATATATATATAGACCTTTACTCGTTTGTTTGAGAAAGATTTGTTTATGCATGAAAAACTGTATGTGCATATGATTGCCTTTGGCTTATTCATTTACTTTTGCATATGTGTGCCATATGGCAGGCCAAATGGCGGAGGGATCGATTGGATGCCGTCGGCGGCCACATGAGTGGCACGAGGCTGTTCATGTCTTCCAGAGTTCCTTTGTCATCCTAAGGTGCATTTCCGCATGTTTAGCAAATCTTAAATGCAAAATGCCTCAGGCCTTTGAATCCTGTATCTGTCTGAGGCCTACGGCAACACACTGCTTCAAGAGGAGAACCCGTTTCCAAAACCAGCAGCCCACAACAACTCGTTTCTAGCATTCTAAGCCAAGTTTTGCTTGAGACGGCGTCCCCCAAGCTTTCTTTGTGATGAATGACACTGTTGGAATCGCATTTTCGGTGTGGGAGCTGGAACTTGCATTTGATGTTGGTAGTTGAGGATGTGTCAGGCAACTGATTTTCGGCATGCGTGTCTGAATTCAGATCGCTGTATAACACATCAAAAACAACTGCCTCAGATGCCTCGACCCTCAGCTCCGCCAGGTTGGAGGCGCCCAGAGATGGTGGGACACAGCCGTCAGCTCGAAGCGACCACGTGTGGCTGGCCAGTGTTGATTGAACTTGTTCGTAAACCAGGACCCGTAACTCGGTGTGCTGTGACATCCTGGACAGGTGCTCAGGTCCCATACGGTGTCAAGACGGTAGGATCTCTCCGTGCAGCACGCAAATTGCAAATTCTAAATCCCCGCCCCTCACCTCCTCCACTTCCCTGTCCCTCCCTCGCCTCTCCCTCTCCCTCCTCCACCCGCCTTCTCTCTCTACCTCACTCTCTGTCTCGCTCTCTCTCTCTCTCTCTCTCTCTCTCTCTCTCTCTCTCTCTCTCTCTCTCTCTCTCTCTCTCTCTCTCTCTCTCTCCTCCCTATTTGAGTAAGCAGCAGTTCGACGAACTGTCGCTTGTAAGTATGCAGGCATTCAGGTACACGCTACGTATGTTTGTTCGCATGGATAGCATGGTAGAGTACAATAGTATAGCATTGTCTCTAGAGCATGGAATATCGTAGTAGAGCATAGAATATCAAAGTCGCATAGCATAGTGTGGCATTTTTTTGGGGAAGTAACAGCATGCCATAAAGCAGTGATATAAAGCATAGGAGAACGTAGCATAGCATAGCAAGGCATCGCCTGGCATAGTGTCGTATATTAAACCATACGCTGTATAGTATCGTATGGTATAACTGTATAGCCAAGTATAGTATAGTATAGCACGTCACTATCTCACCTCTCTCCCTCTCCCTCTCTCTCTCTCTCTCTCTCTCTCTCTCTCTCTCTCTCTCTCTCTCTCTCTCGCTCTCTCTCTCTGTCCCTCCCTCTCTCTCTCTCTCTCCCTCCTCCCTCCCTCCCTCCTCCCTCCCTCGCTCTCCCTCTCTCTCTCTCTTCTCTCTCTCTCTCTCTCTCTATCTCTCTCTGTCTGTTCTGTCTGTCTGTCTGTCTGTCTGTCTGTCTGTCTGTCTCTCTCTCTCTGTGTGTGTGTATACATATAGGATATGTTGTGATAGAAGGTTTATGCCTTGTAGCCACGAGAACAGGCCTAGTTGTCTGATCTCCTGCTGGTGCCAGGTCTGTCAAAGTGAACGGATGAGCTTGCTTATGCTTGTGGTGCCGGCGCAGCTGATGTCAGCATCATACTGGGCTACTTTATGCGGTCAAGCATGTGACTTTAACTGTTTGTCATCCCACTTGTTGTGAAAGGTTTGGTCCAGAGCATCAGCTTGAGCAGGTTGCTAGGTTCTGCTAAATTAGCATTTCATTAGGCCTTGTAATTCTTAGACCCCATGCTTCTTGCAGCCGTCATGAGCAGCATTGCTCTGAGTGAAAAAAAGGTTGCGCTGGAGCCCGTGTGATGTTTGTCATGTTTGTTCCCATGCTCGCGTGTTCGGTAAGTGGTTGCCTGCAGAGCTGCTCGCGATATCCTTTTTGTTGTCCTCCGCTTGGACTGTGTTTTGAGGCTGCTGTTGCTTCAGTACAGTGGTCAATATGATGCGAAACCTCCGCACAGCCGCATATCATATTGTACTCGTAGCATGTGCTAACTCACTTCGCAACATTGAGACCCTGCAGGCTGGAATCCAGAAAGTGCCCAACGAGGAGTACTATGCCCTTTGGGTGCAATTGCACCGTAATTGTGTGCCTTTCATAAGGAAGTAAGTCTCCATCATCTCAGAATCTTGAAGAATGAGTTGTGTCCCCTGTCCCTTTATGTCACCTCGATGGTATTCTGTTTCATCACCGCTGATTCATTATCGCTATTACCATCACTACTGTCGTCACCATGACCATGCCCTGCCCAAACGAGGGGCAAAGGAAGCTGTGCTTGCGAGCGAAGACTGTCCCGGCAACAGCGTGCGTTGTTTTGTCTGAGAGTCTTACTGTCAGCTCTGGGATCTCTTATTGGAAGTCCTACTAGGCTGTACCCTCCTTCTTAGACCGTTCCAGGATGGGTCTTCGGGATGCCTGTTGCTGCTTTCCGAAAGCCTTGTGCTTATCGAGGCGGGGAAATGGATGGTCCACCTCGACTGCTTCGCCTGGGTCCAACGAGATTCGCGCGGGACTTGGCTTTGGTTCGCATATGGAAAAAGAACTGGTGTTTCTAAGAGCTGACAGTACTGCTCGGAGTATTGGTATGCGTGTTGCTGTTCTCATTCATAGCGTCATTGCCACTGCTGGTCTACTGCATGCATAATCGCAGACTCATGTCTGGTTGCCGCTCTTTTCTTTGCAATCTGTTTCTCATGACGAGGAACGACAATGCCTGAGTCGGTTAGATGCCATCGATACCATGTCTCTTATTACTTAGGGCCGCCATCCTGGCTCTTGCCACGCTATTCACTGTTGGAGCTCTTTCACGCAGTTGTGGTGACTGCCAATGACGCTTCACCGTTGCTCTCGCTCAGGGTCTGGTGGTGTTTGCCGTGCAGGAGACAGGTTTGAGGCGTCAGATTTGGCATACGCAGCGACCAGGACTACACGTGGAAGGTGATATCATTGTTGTCGTCATTGCTGTTGTAGTCTGCAGGCTCAAGGTTTCTACTACCTACTACTCCACTCCTGAAAAATTCGTTGAACTTCACGAGGTTTCAGGCATCTTAGGTCGTACAACGGCCAGGAGTATCCTAATCAGAGTCAGCAATGTCCAAGCATCATTTCGAAGTAGAGACAGCTCAAAACTCCAAGCCCTATCATTGTTTTTGTTGGGCTTCTCAGTCGATCTGCCAGAAACTTGGTGACCCTTGAAGTCTGGGACGTTGTACCTTTTTGGATAGCCGTCATAGTCTTTCCCTGCTGTAGACTGCTCTAAAGCAGGCTTGCCATGTTGGATCTGCTTCTGCTTAACTGTTGGTTGCTTCACTTCCCGGTAGGAAGTCTGTTTCTGTGCCGACGACTTCGTTCAAGTTTCGGATGGGCAGCCTAATCATCCGACCGCCACTCTGCATGCCAGGTACCTACCCTGCGGAGCACGAGGTCTCAAAGCCGTCACGACATCCTGGCATGTTGCGTGACAGGATTCGGCTTCAATCGGTGGATGTACAATGTCCCCAGGCGCTACAAGCTGAAGTATGACCCTGTGGAGCTGGATCCGGAGGCCGCAGCTCCTGCCATATCTCTAGAAGCTTCAAGGCTTAAAGACTCAAGGATGAGTTTTGCTTCGTTTAGCATCGAGAAAATTGTAAGGAGCACTGTGGCTTGGCCTGTTGGGTCTCCACATAGACAAATACGGAAGGAGGCTTTCCAACCTGCCAACCGACTGTGTATTGGGTATGTGCGTGGGCGATCGGTGTCAGTGGGTGAGAGTGGGACTGCGTGTGTGAGGGAGAAACATGTAAAATGGGCAGAAGCTGTTCCCTAGCATATAGCTTGCCGATTCTCCACTGTTGTTCCCGGGATGGCTTTCAGAAGCTGAGAGGCGTAATGCAGCATCACCCCGTTGCGACTCGTTCGATCTGCTGCGAATTCTGACACATTGGGAAATCATGTCAAAGCTTGAGCGGATGAAGTGTTGGTCACCCACGGCCCACGGCCTTAGTGCAGCACCCCTTGCATGCGTGCAGGACATGACACCCTTTGCGCGGGAGCGGCCACAGGAGTTGGCAGCGTGAGCTTTGCTTGGGAGTTCCATGTAACTATTGTGGGGAACCCCAAAAACCCCAGCCCACAATGCAAGAGCTGGTCCGACAGTGGTGGGCTTGGGCATGGTGCGGATGTAAACAGTTCAAGATTCATAGAAAAGCAGGCAGTGACAGCGTGCAGTCTCGGATCGTGCAGATTGATCCAGCTACGTGCAGTGGTTGAACCAAAGGGCTCTTGGCCAGGTACTCGGTCTCCGATGCGGTCGCCACCTACTACCTTTACATGAAGGCTTGCGGATCCCGCCTGCGAATCGAATGCTTTCTCTTGTTGACTCTTCCCTCCTTTCTAGCTTTGCAAGGTGTTTGTGCATGAGGGATCCTGGATACACGACATTCTCTGGCCGTGCTCACACGTTTGTCTACAACACCAATGCAACGTAATGCAATTGTTCTTCGTCGTGCACCAAGTTTCTGCGCAGTGCCGAGGCTCGCCAATGCAGCGGTGCAAGACATCTATCAATGGCGAATCTTGCTATATAGCATTGCCAAGCACTCTGGCTTCGTCACAACCTGCCAAAGCAGTTTACAAGGCTCGACTCTGGAGGCAACACCCCTGAAGCTGTTGATTCCTGCCGCAGTACATCCACGACTTCATTTTCGCGCTGTGCTCCATCATCCCGTACGGCGTGGCGCTGAGGGATCTGTAGGCTTCGTCTTGATCGACCTTGGCATTTCGGCAGCGCTGGGTAACTCGCCTTTTCGGTGCAACATTTGGGCTGCATGCGGTGTTGACATTCCGGCACTAGCTCCCTCAGGGTATCTTAGTTTTGGTTGCATCTTCTGCGCTATGCACGTCTGATACTGGCGGTGGCTGTTCAAGACTGTGTCAATGGATGCTGCTATTGAAAGTCCTAGGAAAAGTTTGAATTTGCAAATCTGTGCGATCTCTCCCCTGAACGAGGTGTATGCCGAAGAAAAGTCTTAGAAGATCATAGAAGCTCGTGGGATTTCATGTCTCAGACTTAATCTCGGACATTTCTATGTAAACTCGTGCAATCTCACGCACTAAGTCCATTCCTAGGGTACCTTGCTGGCGCCTTCGATCTAATCTTCAAGCTATGTAAACTACTGGATTCGGTGGGTAAGGAAAGCCATGCCATCGCACCTTTCGAATCCACGGATAAGAGGCTTATGACATGAGAAAGCATGCACCCTCGAGGCCCGGATGAAGTGCTTCGTAAGGCCGTGCTGTCCTGTGCATGTCAGCTCTAACGGAGACAGAGCATCCCTCTTGGAATTTTGAGCAGCAGCAGCCGCAGCACCACTACCTGCGGCAACAACGACGACGGCGACGACGACACCGACAGCAGCAACAGCCGCAGTTGCAACAACAATAGACATGATTTTAGACTCCAGCAGCTGCAGTGGGAATGGCCGCAGCAACACAAAGGAGAAAGTTTTGCATCAGAAGGAGATGGCAGGCCCCTTGGTAATCGCCCCAAGCCTATAAAGGCCAAGCGGTTTCCCTTGCTTCTGCACTTCTTAGTACTCTATGCGCAATGAATGGGCCAATGGTTAAAGTTGGTTTTCCGTGGTGTTCAAGTTGTACACTTTCTGGGGCTTCTGCCACTGAAACCACTATGCCTATGCTGACACCAAACACCCTGGACCCCACCAAGACTCTTAATTGCAGTGTGTTTTTGGTTAGAGCTTGAGGGGCCCAGGATTTATAAGGTTGTGAGTGGATCAACGGCTTAAGTCGAAAGATTGAAGCCTGAGCTATCCTACCTCTTCTGTGATCTCAAATCCGGCCAGGGTTCTGGAACTCTTTGCGAGTCCTTGCTGATGAACCAGGCCCGCCCTCCCTGTCTTTGCAGCACTGTGCCTGCATGCCTGCAAGGTTTAGCAGTTTAGCATATTTTCTTTCCACTAGCAGACTAATTCTCCTTCCCCTCAAGACAAACGCCAGCGGACATCCCTCCAAGCAATAAAACCTAGCAAAAACTGCATGCGACTACCCGAAGCAGAGAGAAGAGACCCAGGCAACTCGAGGCCTAGCCACGCAACAGACTGTGAGCAGGAAGCCGAAGCCTAGAAGCCCTATAAGACATGGCTTTCCGGCAGGCTGCCCATGCCAACGTGCTGCTGGCACGTTTGCACACAGCTCGGAAGCTTGAAGACTCTTGACTTCCATCTGCAACTCCAAGATAGCTTGACTGAGCCCAAATCTGGGCTACAACAGCCACGGACCTTTTTGTGGTAACGGCGCTTGGCAGTTGTTTGGTGAGATGTGTGCTCGCAGACCACTGTGTCCAGGCAGCGTGTGCGAAGTCGCTGAAGCTCCGTAGCAAAGGTACAGTAGAGAAGTTCAGGCAGCCACCAAATTGTTATCATGCTCAACAGGTTCTGTTCCCGAACAAGCACCACGACCCTCCTTTGCAGTACCACGAGGTGCTGCCAGCCGCTTCACAAAGCTAGTGATAGTGTTGGTCACAGATGAACATGTCATAAGACGTGCTCTTCAATTTCATGATCGCCGCATCATATAACTTCGAAGTGACCCGACGAGAAGCCACACTCAATATCGCCCACACCTATTTGCCTGGCCAAGCCAAGCAGTAGAGCCTCAGATCGGTCAACCCGGGGTGCATCCGCAGGCATTTCCTGCTGAATCCTGCTAACTTCCAGCCATGAACAACTTGAATACACAGACAGCTATGCCGTGAATCCCCCCCCCGTCCCGGCACATTCTTTGTTGAAATGGGTGTCCATGTTATACAGCCAGTAGCATGGAAAAGCTGCAGCTATAGTTAGTTTGAGTTGTCGCACAGCATAAACAGCATTGCTGCAGGCCAAACCACGAATCGCCTAGCTCAGTACGACATCTGACGGCAGTCTTGTTATGTCTATATGGTGTGGGGTTCAAAGTCTCGCCGTCCTGTTTCAGGAGTTGAGTAGATGTCAAGATGGGCATGCAAACGTTTCTCGGACTTGATCCGAACCCAGTAGTAGGCCCCGAAAGGTTTTGGACGCTGTTTGGAGCGCTGTCGACTCTCATCATCTGAAATCCATGAACGCCAAGAGCAAGTCATGATCACAGTCGAGATAGGAGCAACTGCTCATAATGCCGGTCAAACGAAAGACGGTCAGCAATGTGAAGCGCAAGCCTGCAGCTGCTCTGCCGGCACGGCGTGGTCCTCAAGACACTTCGGGTCGTTGTCGAGCTTTGTTGGGCTGTCTAAGAAAGCCTGAGCATGATAGGTGCCCCGTGCAATGTATCAGGGCTTTATGAGCAACCGTCCTATGATGCATTTGCGATCCGGACCAGTTGACGTGGAAGTGGAATTGGACTCGCTTCCGGCGTGTGAGTGTGGAGGCTAGCAGCAGGTAGACAGACACCACTTGAGTCATGGTGCCGGCACCTGAAGCATGGAAGCATTGCCCCTGAGTCGACCTCCCTACAGTAAAGCTATTGCCCCTGAGTCGACCTCCCTACAGTAAAGCTCTCCCGCTGACCGTAGCTAACGCAGCAACTCTGCGCCGAAGCAGCTCCCTGCTGCCGTGCATCCCAAGCTCATACTGAAGGAAGCGACGCAAAGAAGATGGCCCTGCCTGCGGCGTGTTCGTGCAGAACGCCCCTCGCGGAACGGATGTGCAGGCAAACTTGTTATGGACGCATATGCTTTAGCCTGACTCGGAACCCTTCGCCCGCGCCCAAAGCATAACTCCGACTCCACACGGTAAAGACACCACCCTGTAGCTTGCGAATCAGGCCGGTAAGTTGATAACTGCATGCGGACAGTCGAGATATAAGTTACGCACTAATGAGAGGCACGCAACCCTACAAGGATGTTGTATTCTTTGGCTGGCTTGTCGTACCTCGCGACACACTTCTCTGCTCTGTGTAGGGGAGAAGACATTGGATCAGTTCGGGGCTAGCTATACTTGGCTAAGTGATCGAGTGGCTCCCAGACTGTTGGTTCAGGTCTTGATTTCACCATATGATGCAGGTGATTGTCTTGTCGTTTTCGCAATCCTGGCCATCGTGGTGCATGCCTGTTAGCATCTGTGCATACTGACAGTACTTATGCGCGTCTGCATGTATCTCTGTTCCTCTGTCTAGCTGCTGGCGGCCTGCTCAGACGGACCGACAGGCAGACAGACAAAGACACATACATAAACATATGCTTATACGCATACATGCATACATCCATCCATCCATATATACATACCTACATGCATGCGTATTTGCTGGGTAAGCTATCCAAAGACACACAACCATTTCAAGCAGCCCACATCCTGCCGAAGGCCAGATTCTCGAACGAGCGCTTCGCAGAAGGACCGTCTGCCTGTGAGAGTTTGGGTTGGACGGTTGCAGGGATTGGTTTGTTCGCTCATCGGCAACTTTCGCATGTAAGCAAGATTGCCAAGTGCTGTTGTCCATGCTGCCTTGAGAGCAGCGGATTCACGCGAAGTACGCTGTCTCCTAGCAGCTAATTACTGTAGCATAGCCCCGAAGCCTGAGAGGCGGCTTCCGCCATGTCTACAAAGGCGTCTACCTCTCCGGACCCCGAGAGGGGGAGGAGTGCGTAGCATGCCTGAAAGCATTTGGGAGTTGAGGATGCCATCGTCTCTCGATGGTGGCCGACTAGATGTGGAGGTCGTAGTTCTGTGCTTTCTGATGGTAGTGAGCCTTGAGGCTGATTCTTTGCAAGTCGGCTTCGTGGCCCGAGCTGTCGTGTCAAGACTTGGGGGCTAAGGTAAGAAGAGTATAGACCCTTGTGCCAGAACAGGTAGCACAGGCAGAGCACGTAAACGTGTCGAAAGCAATGGGCAGAGACATGTTGATGAGGGCGTTTTGGGGATCTACATATTCTGCTCTGCGGATTCGTGGTTCGACAGTGATGGCAGCAGAGCTCTGCTTCACTCGGTCTCTTGGAGAGATACCTTGGACAGCTGTTATCTAGTCACTGGGTCACCGAATAGAATACACGAGGTGATGAAAGAGTTCAAGACTGGAAGCGTCCACGAAGCAACGTTCTTCGAGGCGAGGTCAAGTAAGATGCTGACCATCTGCAGCCAACACAGCGTTCAACCCTGTGGTCTCAGCTTGGTCTAAACAACAGCATGTGAAGATCCACTTTTCACATGCGGTTTCGAGTAGACTCGTCTATGTGCGACACGAGAAAGGCGAGGTAGCTTTGCTTAGTGTCAGGGAAGTTTCTAAAGACCCTCCGAGCTGACAAGATGGTTTGAAGCCAGCAGTAGTTGAGTTTGTCGCTGACAGATACCAGGAAATCTTTTCGTTGTGAGGAAGTTGTTACCTTCAGAGCATGTGGGTCAGGGGTTTTGCTTGTCAGATGAATGCTTTGCTCTACACGGGTCTTTTTGCAGACCTGTTCTGCACAAGATTAAAGTATGTGGGGTTTGCCCAATGTTGCGATGGATTCCGATCCAGAGTCTCATGTTTCATGACTGGGAAAATCGACACACACACAAGACTTGCAAAGGTAGTCATGGCTGAACTACTGTAAGTTTACTGTACTACTCATGGGTCGGACGCGTCAGCCCACGCTGTCATGCTTCACCAGCCAATCCCAGCTGCATGAAGGCCGATGTCCAAGCCGTCAAGAAGGCCAGGCGCATGCAGCGAACTGTGCATCCTCGGGGTAGCCTGCAGAGTTTGGCGGGTCGCGACCGACATCTCTCAATGCCCGGAGTTTTAGATTCGGATCGCGATGAGGTCCAGCCTCGATTCGGGGAAAGGCCTTGCCCAAACTTACGATGTGAATCTACTTAGTGTTTTGAAGAAGCACGCTGTTGAATGCAGCTGCTGCCGGGGGGTACAGCCAGGGATGCTGGATGATAAAGAGGTTGTAGCCCATGTTCAACGCTATCTATCTGAGACCTTGCCACTTTAAAGCATTTTGGACGGTTTCGAAGGGACTGTGCGGCATCCCAACAGTCACCGCTCGACCACTTGCGAGCTGCAACTTCCTCTTTCTGAGAACAGAGCTTGGGTTTCACAGGCTCAGAATCTTTCAGATTGAGAGTTGGCGCTACGGTCGCTGCAACCTGCTGTCCTGTAATCGAAGGCTGGGCAGCTGATTCAGAAATTCAACGATGCAAACATCGTGCCTTGGCAGCCATATTTTTTGTGGCTTGCTTGGCTAGACTAGGTGGGCCCTGTGTCTCCTTGAGCCATTAGCTTGGAGCTGTCCGCCGTAAACCCTAAAGCCCCGAAACTCAAGCGCTGCCCAGCCGCAAAGTGTTTCCAAATGTTGAACTGCAGCAGTAAACGAAGTACATTACAATAGTTGTATGATTATATGTGAAAAAAAAGTTGGTAGCTTTCACGGAATCTTGCGAACATTCCCCGAAACATAACCCCGATTCACACCGCGAAACATAACCCCCAGACAGACATGCCGCTCCCGGTACTGAACACCCAAACACATTTCTATCGCACCAATACAGGCACAATGTTATGTTTGATACAGTCAATATTCTTGACGTGCCAGTTGAAATATCGATTCCTCGTAGATGCAGCTTGAGAACACATCTGTGAGCTTCGGAGTGCGCAATTTTCCCTGGAAGGCAAGTCGAACCGGCCACGCCTTCCCCAGTTCCACTTGTTTTTTTCTATCGAAGCATATCGAAGCGCAGATCGTATGATGCGCAGCTGCCGTGTCAGACGAGTCCCCGAGACGTACGGCCGTGAAGGACAAGGTAACCAAAAAATTGAAATTTACATCGCAGATGTATCCACACCCAACGCCTGAACCCGACCTCCCCTTCCAGTACTGCTAACAAGCTTGGGATGCCTAGAACTTGTATTCTCGACCCTAACCCAAAGGTCAGCAAGCGCGTCTATCTCAACGAGCCGGAGGTTTGGTCCGGCTCTGGCGGCCGAATTGCGGGACACAAGGTCCGGCTTCAGGAACTCCTCGATGGTTTTTTTCTGGCAGCTTTTTGGGTTTTCCGGTGAAGACCAGGACAGAGATGCGCATGTGAAAATGCGCGAACCAGACTTTGTTTTCACCATGCCAGGTCCTCGTCGAGCCGATGATTCAAGGCCGCTTCTCCGATGTTGATTTCACTTGGGTAGGGGTGGGGCAGGGGTAGGGGTAGGAGTGGGGGTGGGAGTAGGGGTAGGATTAGGAGTAGGAATAGCAGCAGCAGTTGTAATTGTAGTTGCAGGGGGATGGGGGTGGGGGTAGGGTATATAAAAGCATGTGTATGTGTTTTGTATAGTCTGAAAACAAACATCGGTATACACGGACACACACACACATACGTATGTATACACATAATATATACATGTACATATATATATATATATATATAGATATATATATATATATAGAGTACACAACAACCCGTTCATTTCATCGTGGCTCTGAATGCATGTGTGAAGCACCCATCAGGTGCTTAGGCATGAGCTTCTGCTCCGAGGTACCTATTTTCGCTTCAACAGCAATACTGGCTATGCCGAGCCAGACACGGCAACAATGCAGGCCTTGTCGCACTTTTCCTACCATATCTCGAGCCTTGGCATGCACGTCTGTAGCAAAATCTCGCCCAACGCCTTGCGCTTACAATCCTAAGCGTGTCGAGCGAAGGAACGGACAATATCTGCTGTGCGACCTACAGGGTGGTCGCTACGATGGCTCTTGCCTCAAAATGCGTGGTGTAAGTCTCGCACTTGACGATGCCAAAATGGATGAGACCGGTGGTTCCGAGTGGTTGCTCGAATAACGAGGCTTTTACATCCTCACCGACCCCGTGATCCACAGCAAGGGAAAGGACTGCAGGGCGGGGTAGAAGAGGTGTGACAGGCCTCAGAGACTTCGGTTGAACGCTCGAGCCGCTAGAAACTGATGTAAGCACATTCGAGCCTTCTTGCAGTGACGCTGCCAAATTTGCATGAATTCCAATCTGAAGAGGCAGCGGCAAGGGCATCACAGTCACGCAACCACAGGTGAGAATGGCAAGTTTCGGCTGTTGCATGTGTCGAACTCGATGCAGCCATCGCATAACGCTGAATGCAGGAGTTTGGTGGCACAGATCTCGGGCAGGACTTGGCTGCAACTGTTTCTCAAGTGTTCCCAAGCTCCAAACACGCACACCATCACTGCAACCTTGGCGTTGTCATTGCTTAACTTGGAAACCCTCACGGGCGTTCGCAACGGCACACACAGTGGTTCATACGGGCTTTCAGATCACGGTCTCTGGCTCCTTTGGGATTGATCTTGCCTCAGGCCTGGACGACAGGGAGAGAGGGGCAAAGAGAGAAAGAGAGAGAGAGAGAGAGAGAGAGAGAGAGGGGGGGAGGCAGAGAGCCTGCCGCGACAGTGCTACAACCGGTAGGGCTGACTGCGACTTGGAAGAGAGCCGTTCACACAAGATCAACGGATTTGTGTTGTTAGTCCAGGCAAGAACGCAAGCATGTGAGTTTCTCGCCCCTTGTAATTACAGCAACTTGTGCCGGGTTCAGGAAGGCATCGAGAACTTCATGGCACACCACCGTTGTGGTCGGAACCTTGATTGTTCTTGTAAGATAGAATCATATAGAAGGTGTCCATATTCGAACTCGAATTTGCGTTAGTGATGTGCATACAAACTTATTTTTATGAGTCCTCTACGGCGCTACGAAGGTCGCTTCTGCGACCCAAACTGGAAACTCCCTCCAGCCGGGGACTTGGCAAGAAGCCGGGCTTGGAGCTTAATTACCGTGGTTCTCCAGAGCCTTTTGACCCCTATGCTGCGGGGCTCTCATTCTCACTGGCTATAGCTCACAGCATGGAATGCTGAAAGTCTAGTTGCCCGTACAGATGCAACCCACAACTTTAGAGCCACCCACCCATCCACCCATCATCCCACTCCCATCCACCTCAGAGTTTTGAAACCTGCAGGCTGACTGCATAGACTTTCGGTCTTTAGATCCTACGCACCGGAAAAAGCACAGCTGCGCAAGCACACATCAAAGAACCCGTGCACTAAGCAAGCGCTTTCTACGTGGTAACTCCTCGTTGCGAGTTTTGGCCGCAGAAATGCTGAACGCTCACCCAAGACTTCGACTTCCGGCGGCCAATAATCCCATAAATCCGCTGCTGAGGCCAAAAAGCTGATCCCCCGTTTCGAGGCGCAGTGGCTGCAGGGTTATTGATGGCTTCAGAGCGGCTTGTGGAATTTGGGTGCCGGAAGTGCTTTGGCTACTGGGTGTGCAGGGACCCGTTGAAGTTGGTGCGGAGTACCTGATTCTGACAAAGCTTCGCGCACCGATGCATCGTCGTCCAAGGGGATCAGTGCAGCTGTCAGCAGGCAGTGGCTGGTACCACGTTTGGTGAAGCTGCGGCGCTGTTCACGAAGGAAGCTCGGCGTTTGAGTGCACTGCAGAGTCATGGAGCAGTAGCAACCGAGTCATGATCTCAAACCAAAGTTTAGACTGATCAGGCAGTGAAGGCAAGCGAAATCGTGTATGACGTTCGAAACAGACTTCCACGAAGTTCTGTCTGTTGTGCCCTGCCTGATTGTCACCACAATCATCAACCATCAGACCCAACTAGTACTTCTTGGGCGGCTCGTCCAGCGCTTGCTCAGTGAATTTAGTGTCAAGCCATGCTGCAGCATTCGAATAAATTATGCTTTGGGGATGTTGGCCAACGAATGCTATAACTACGACTTGAGGCAGACCCGAGCCACACGACACACCCTCCGCAATTCATCCAAAATTGCGAGTCTTAAGGGCATCGACCCACCCTCAATCCGGGATCCTGAGCTTCAACAGGGAGTCAGAAGGTCACGTGGGTTTTGAGAGAGTTTTGCACAATTTTGGGGTATGGGTGGCCGCTTGCTTTGGTCCAAACTGAGCATGCTACGGCAACACAGGTTCGCACATTGTTCCGCTGTGGGATCTTGAGTCCTATAGGCTACCAATATCAAGAGACAGCAGTCCATTCAGACAAAGAACAAATGTCGGTGACATCGGACGCGATATATCATGAGAGCAATGATGGTACTTTCGGTGCGCCGTCTGTGGCCTAAACTCAGCCTTTCGTTGACAGCCAGAGTTCAAGCAGGCATACTGGGACTATTTCAAACTTGGGTCTCCTTTCTGGGAAGAGCCCTTGTTCCGAGCAGCACGGAACTGGAAATAGTACGAGTAGCAGCATTCGCGAGAGAAGAGTGCCAATCACTAGTAAGGACAGTGATGGCAAGGCTACAACGTTCGGTTTAAACAGCAATGAGGCAACGCGAAAACAACAATCGCGAAGACAGGTCATACCGGAAGTGGTTGTGACACGCAGAACAGGCAATTGTACAAAGTACTATGATGCAAGTAGCCTGAAAACAAACTTCAAATAAAGCGAAGGCACGATCCACAACCTGGACCCTCACCAGAAGTTGAAATGCAAACACCGAGTGCAGGAGCAGCGCAAGGACCTGGAGATCAAGGCACGCCGCTGAAATTGCTTGAGCGATTTCTTGCAAAGGACACGAATCAGAATGATTTTTGCTCTCGCTCGTTTGGTGGCAATAGCAGCGCTACTACCGGTCGTAGTGCAATATGTGGTCGTCGTCGACGTCGTCGTCGCAGTGGTAGCGGCAGTAATAGTAAGGGCAGCCGTAGCTGTTGCACCTGTAGCGGTAGCAGCAGCAGCCGCAGTACAAGTAGCAGTAGCATAGCAGCAGCAGCAGCAGCAGCAGCAGCAGCAGCAGCAGCAGGATTATTATTATTGGTAGCAGCAGCACTAGTAGCAGCAGTAGTAGTAGTCGCAGCAGCAGGAGCAGCAGACTCAGTCCAGTCGCCGTCGCAGTCGCAGCAGCAGCAGCAGTAGCAGTAGCAGTAGCAGTAGGAGTAGAAGTAGAAGTAGAAGTAGAGGTAGGAGCGACAGTAGGAGTAGGTGAGTAGGAATAGAAGCAGAAGTAGAAGTAGCAGTAGTAGTGGAAGTAGTAGCAGTAGTAGTAGTAGTAGCAGCAGAAAAACTAGGAGTGTAGAAGCAGGAAGAGGCAGTAGTAGCAGTAGTAGTAGTAGTAGCAGCAGCAGTAGTAGTAGTAGTAGCAGCAGCAGCTAGTAATAGTGTTAGTAGGAGTAGAAGCAGAAGCAGAAGTAGAAGTAGCAGTAGTAGCAGTAGTAGCAGTAGTAGCAGTAGTAGCAGTAGTAGCAGCAGCAGCAGCAGTAGTAGTAGTAGTAGTAGAAGCAGCAGCAAAACCAGGAGTGTGGAAGCAGGAAGAAGCAGTAGTAGGAGTAGTAGTAGTAGTAGTAGTAGTAGCAGCAGCTAGTAATAGTAGTAGTAGTAGTAGTAGTAGTAGTAGTAGTAGTAGCAGCAGCAGTAGTAGTAGTAGTAGAAGTACTAGAGTAGTTGTTGTATATAGGTAGTTGTCCTTCTTGCCTGTATCTGACACAAGTATCAGTCTGAAGCCACCAAGTTCATCCTGATGCTCCTTGTCACATGCGACTATACTTCACCCTACGATGTTCGTCATACTCCGCTGGCCACATCCAGACCGTGAAGAGCAAGAAATGGAGCAAACAGACTGCTACATGCCCTCCGATGTGATCGTTCGTTTTACGAGTTACACCGCCGTCGATATTTCCTCACGGACTCACAAACACTTCTTCATGCGTGCCCGGTACAAGTTCTTACAGAGACATTGCAGGCTGCGTAACCACCATGACCCACCATAACTATTCACACACCTCAGTATGTGTGCACTCGGGTGCGTACACATGCTATCATGCAGTAGTGCATGCCTGTACAGACCATCATACCAAACGCAGGTATTTCATACTGACCACGGGCGCATGCTCCGCCATACTTTCCATAGCCGGCGTGCGGTATGTGGCAGTTTTTGCTTTGCTTGATTCTGCTCTGCGCTGTTCTTGTTCTATCTGGCATACTATGTCAGGCGCAAGAGTGAGCAGTTGCCTGGTTTTCAGCAATAAGTTCTGGTATGTACCGTGCCATGCCTCACGATGTACCCTTTGGAGAACAGATACCAGGATGCCTGTTTGGTTCCATTGTGCTATGTTCTTTCTTCCAAGGACTTCCGACAAGTTCTGTATCAGTTAACTAGGTTCTGACGAGGAAGACCGAAGAAACGAAACGCACACTGGGCTGGGCGAACCTATCGCTGGCACAGGTCCTCTCGAGGATACGTGTGGGCTGAGATCCGTTGTTACCTGCAGTGCAAAAGCCATGAGTACATGCCACGAAACATTCGGAACCCTACCATGTACAGTGTAGTAACGGAATAAGTGCGTAATAGAAAGCTGATCTTCGAAGATCCAGCCTGAAGGTCAACAAAGAGGTCCGGATCAGCATCCGGAAACTATGGGAAGGTGCTCTTCCCTCTGACAAGAAGCAGTGCCTTGTCTGATGTTATCAAAATCTCTCTTCTCTCGAAGAGCTGGTTCCTCAGGGCGCAGGGTCAGCAAGTCCATGTCGTACACACGTATCAGGAAAAGCCAGGTTTGCTGTTGTAAGTTCATTCACTGACGGCCGTCATGTCACTTCCAGGTGCCAATTTTCCTGTAGGCCCGCGGCATGCCCCAGGCAGCAAGCCCTTTACCCAGAGGCGTTCGTGCCTCACCCGCATGTGCACGAACCTGGGTTTGCAAAGGATTGTGGTCGACAGATCCAAGCGAGTCACGGCCAAAGCCGTCCCAAGCTGACGATGGAGAGAAATCTGCTTAGCTACATCTCTAGGATCTTCTTGCTAGCATGCCACAAAACTGGCACTTTTTTGTAGATCCATGTTTGGCCGAAACTGCGCCTGCAAATTGGGTGCGGGCTCGCGCTTGTTCACGCAGCGCGGGTGAAAGTCAGGACGGCCCGAGGTGTCTGCAATCGAACGCGAGATCCTACCAGTGCTCCCAGCATGAACCCAGGTTGCTACTGTATCAACTAGGAGCTTATTGTAGCTCTTCTCTTCACCGTGTGCATCTATGATTGAGACGAGACCTTGGGGTGACCCATGGGGAGTTTCATCTCGCAACTCGGCGGTGTCGCTGCCAGGGGAAAAAGTTGGTCAAGCCCAGCCTGCAGAGTGTCTTTACCGGTCGCTTCTTGAGGCTAGTGGGTTTGATGCATGTATACTCGCTTTCTTGCGAATACACGCTGTGCAAAGGAAAGACAGCACAGAGGCAAAGCAGAAGGAAGACTGGAGCATTATTAGCTCGGCTATGCAGAAGAAAGAGTATGGAGTGCGTCTGGATGCTACATCCTCTTCATAGCCTTGTCTGTTCAGTATTGACCCTGGCTGTTCAATGCCGCGGTGGAAGAAAGCGGATCTCAGTAAGTCCGTACTAATGTAGGTTCGCGAAGATAGCCGCCAGTTGCCAACGCCTAGTTCTCTGATCTCGCTCTCCATGCGTTGGGAAGAGGCACCGCCTCCTGGTGGCAGCTGGGCAAAACCTCTCAATACCGCGAGGGGTTTATGAACTCCACTGAATGGTTAAATTTTTACAACATTGTTTTAAATTGCGTTAAAACAATTTATGAACTCCACTGTTGCCTTGAGCTGTCCATCTTCTGCCACAGCTGGCCCGCGGTCTTCCATGCCTCAGCTGGAGTTATCGACTTAACAGAAGTACCGCTACAGTTCATTGACTTTGTTATTTGCCAACACTTTGTTCTGTGCCCCCTGACTGCGTTCTGGATGTGTCTGTTTTAAACCTTGAGACCTTCGGACTTAGTTTTCGCGGTCCCGCCGAAGCTGCCCTGAGAAAACCTCTGAGCACAGCCTGCAAACTTGAAGCCCACAACAGTAACAGGCAGCAACTATGACGCATCAGCACTGCACCTGAAGCTGGAACTTCAGGGCACGAACCGCTTGATTGAGCAGTCCACCTACGAGGCCTGACCGGGCAGAGTTCGCTGTGAAAGATGTGACTATAAGAGATCTCGACTAGGTAGTCGAATCCTACACAGAGAACTCTTAAACAGGCAACCTTAAGTGGGCGCCTATCGAGCCGGCATTGTCTTTCTTACTAGGTCACCGGCATGTACATCGTCAGCCATGTTTTGCATGTCCCCTGTGCTTCGCTTTGCCATGTCCATCACTAGAACCATTCTCGTGTCTCTCAGGCTCTGTCTTTTTGAAGAGCGACGTAACATTTTTGAACGTCGGACCGTAGGAACTCAGTACTCGTAGGGGAGCGGTGGCGACCTTTGTTTTTCTTGTTGCGGAAGAAGAACATACCCCACCGATCTCATTCCGTTGTCGAGAAGCTTTCAGTGACAAAGCTAGCCATTGGGCGACCTGCCATTTGTTTCTGGATTTGGCATCGGCTCGAATGCGAGTTCTGACGCAGACAGCAGCTTCACTCGAGTAACTCTAGTATTCGTGATTCGTGAGCTGTCAAACATCTTCTAGCTCCACTTCGTTGCCTGTCCAGGGGGCACGAGTGGAATGCATGCGTGTGGGAGTCTACCGTGCGGACATCAAGGACGGAGCTATATTGACGGTACTGTGCAATGATTCATGATTTGTGTTAGCACTGACATATCAACAGCCACTGCCTTGGCCCAAGATTTGAAAACTACTGGCGAAAACAGTTCGTGGAGAGCCGTTGCATCGAGTTCCGGGGCCGGCTTATTTGCCGGCGGGACCCGGGAGGTTTCAAAGGATGCTATCACTGTTTACCATTCTTCGGTTAAGCCAGGACAGCGCAACGCAATTGGGGCAAATTGGGGCTAGCCGGATTTGCACCTTAGACATAACCTGCCCCGCCTGATTCGTTACAGGTAAGCCTCGGCCAACATGTGGTCCATGGAAAGACTTGTCTTAATAGCAGCAGCGACAACAGTGAGCCACTTAGAGGGTCACGAAGTATGAGTGCCCACGATTAATTCCTGAACGACCTCGATGACCTTTAAAGGGGCTTATCAACCAACGGCCAGCATCCTCGGTTCCCGGATCCATACTCCCCAGCAGATCTAATACCCACCTCCAGGAGACGTTCCAGATCGAGCCCTCGGCGATCTCGACCCTGCTAGAGGATCTGAAAGGTACTGTCAGATTCCCAGGGCTTGCATGTGCATATCATGTCCGTGTATGTGTATTAAATTATACATACATACGTACATACATACATACGTACATACATACATACATACATCTATATATATATATATATATGTATATATATATATAAGTACACGTATATAGATACAGGTGCATATACAAGCACATACTCGCACATACTTATATACACACAGGTATTGGGGGGTTCCCCAAACACGTTTCAAGGGCCGCTCTAAACTCCAGAAACGCTACGACCTGTCAGCCATGTTCCCTCATGCTTTCAAGCCAAGAAAGACAGGGTTTCCACACCGTTTGGGGCCGAACACAGCAGTGTTTCCGCATGCTTGTGGGAAAAAAAACACAGAGTTTCCACACCGTTTGGGGCCGAACACAACAGTGTTTCCACATGCTTTGGGGCCAAGAAACACAGAGTTTCCACGCCGCTTGGGGGCCGAACACAACAGTGTTTCCACATGCTTTGGGGCCAAGAAGCACAGAGTTTCCACACCGTGGTGCTGAACACAACAGTGTTTCCTCACTTCTTGGTGCCGAACATAACCAATTACCGAATTTACTACCCTGAAGCCAGGCCACATTTAAGCCTTCTGTGCTGTTGGGGTCAGTTCGGAGCAGGTTTGAGTCGGTTTGAGGGGATGGTCTGATAAGTGGCGAGCAGCAATAATATGACTTGTTTGGTTGATGGTGCGTTTGGTTGAGGCTCTTTGGGTTTATAAAATCCGAGCGCCTTGTTTTGTCATTTATGGTTACACACAAATAAGGGTCACTTCCTGTGTGCCCCGTGACCTATAAAATCTGGCTCCTGTTTTCCCGTGACCTATAAAATCCGTGGTCCGTTTTTTTTTTTGTGTGTGTGTGTGTGTGTGTTTTCTACATCAGAGGTGTTATTGTATCGTTGAAACAGAGGCTCGTCAGGTTAAGGTTTTCGGTTTAGGATTATGCAGGGGTTTAGGGGAAGAAAAGTCCTAGTCAGGTTACAGGATGTTACAGGTACTTGTCCCAGACAACCCCCGCCCCAGCCTCCGCCTCCCCTCCCCCCCGCCCACCTCTCGTTCAGGTGTGTGACTTGTCAAGAACCTTTGCGGACACTCTGCGGATACTTTGCGGAAACTCTGCGGACAACGTTGAAAAACTCTGCGGAACCTGTGCGGACACTCTGTGGGAACTCTGCGGACAACGTTGTGGAGCTCTGCGGAATCTATGCGGACACTCGGTGGAAACTCTGCGGACAACGCTGTGGAGCTCTGAGAACAATATGCGGAAACATGTGCGGAAGCAAGGCCCGAAGGGCTTACGAGTTTAGAGTTCCCACGTTTCACACACGTTCCACGACCATGTTTCCACAAGAGTTTCCGCAACCACCGGCCGAGTTTCCACAAATGTTTCCGCAGGTTTCCGCAACAGTTTCCGCAAACACCGGCCGAGTTTCCACAAATGTTTCCGCAAACACCGGCCGAGTTTCCACAAATGTTTCCGCAGGTTTCCACAACAGTTTCCGCAACCACCGGCCGAGTTTCCACAAATGTTTCCGCAGGTTTGCACAACAGTTTCTGCAACCACCGGCCGAGTTTCCACAAATGTTTCCGCAGGTTTCCACAACAGTTTCCGCAACCACCGGCCGAGTTTCCACAAATGTTTCCGCAGGTTTGCACAACAGTTTCTGCAACCAGCGGCCGAGTTTCCACAAATGTTTCCGCAGGTTTCCACACCAGTTTCCGCAACGATCGGCCGAGTTTCCACACAAGTTTCCAGGTTTCCACACAAGTTTCCGCAAGTTTCCGCGGACGCCAACCAAGTTTCCACAACAGTCGCCAGGCGGGGTTTCCACAACATCGTTCGCTTGGCAGAAAAAAATGCTCAAATTTTCGTAATCTACTTTTTGTAAAAAAAATGCATGCGGCTTTGGGTTTGGGAGTTTGGGGCTAAAGCTTAAGCCTAGGGCCTGGGCTTGGGCTAGGAGTGTAAGTCGGTGTAGGCGTTTAGACTAGAGTTTAAAGTTTAAAGTCTAAGGGACAGGCGTGACAGGCGTTTACCCTGTTGCTCTTCGACATCTCTCGAGCTGGAATGCGGGAATTCTACAAAAATGAAGCTTCAAGCAGGCCCCGAACTGTGGGCACAAAGCCAGCCCCAAGGTGTGGAAACACAGGCCAGGTACTATGGAAAAACGACACCAGAAATTGTGGAAACACAGGCCTTGTGCATTGAAAAAGCAAGCCCAAATTTGTGGAAACGCATGCCCGGCGGTATCGAAAAACGACACCAGAAACTGTGGAAACACGGGCCTTGACCACTGAAAAAGCAAGCCCAAATTTGTGGAAACGCATGCCAGGCACTATGCATAAACAGGACCAGGAACTGTGGAAACACAGGCCCCGAACTGTGGAAACACGAGGCCGGGAACTGTGGAAACATAGGTCCCGAACTGTGGCAAATCGTGGTCTTGCAGGCCAAAATATGGAGTTTAGAAAACGTGTTTGGGGAACCCTCCAACACAGGTACATACATACGCACGTGCATACATACATACAGACATACAGTTTCATACATATACAAGCACCGGTGCACACGCACACACAAACACACACACACACACACACACACACACACACCGTGCCCAAGTTGTTAAGCCAGGCATAAGCGTGAAATGCAAGCAAGCGCCGTGTGATCTGATAGGATATGACATGAGAAGGTAAGATATGACATGGCAACGTCTTGCTATGCCATGTCATGTTATATAATGTCACGTGTTTTTATGCGCAATGTCATGTACAATGTCCTGTGGGTGCGGTGTGATGCAATGAAATATACCGCAACATCTTGCAACATAGTGCAATCTAACGTGGCAATGCAGTGGAGTGAAACGTTGTCCAGCATGACGCAACGTGGCATAACATAATGCACTGAAATGTAATTATTGTAGCGTAACGATATTTAATGAAACATACAAGGTCAGGCAATGTAGTGCATTACCACGTGCTGTGTTCCAACGTGTTTGATGTAATGTGGTGTAATGTAGTGTAGTTTACCGTAATGCAGTGTGATGCGATAAACTAGAACAGACTCGACTACAAAAAGTGAATGTGATGCCATGTAGTAGACATGCAAGCACTACATGTGGAGGCTCGGTTGCTCTGTGAAAGTGTGTAGAGTTCCGTACGAACCCGAACATGACACCGAATGGTTCGTGGTTTTGTGGAGCATGCACGTCTCGTGGGGCATATTGCCTGGACACGAACTTGACGGAGGTGAGGGTTTTGGCCGGTTTGCAATAGCTACCGCAAGATTTGTGTGGGATCCACTTTTGCTGGAGTCTTTGACTCGGAGTAGTTTTGCAGAGTATGTTGCTGCCTGTCGTTGTTCTCCCGGTGTGTTTGCCAATCTTGCAAGCCTGGTGTTGAACGCAAACATGCTTTGAGGTTGACTTCTTCCTCACCCAGGAGGAGAAGGTCTCCTCCCTGACAAGAATCGGGCCGTGGGTTGTTATGCAGTGACCAAGGGGTGACGGTAATTACACTGACGGTAATCAATGACGAAGATGAGGTAGCGCTACAGATGATGACGATGACCATGACAATGAGGCGATACAAATGTGAGCATAAGAATGAGGACGAAGAATACAACGAAGACACTGTTTGCTCTCAGCATGGTTGTGGTGGTATCGTCGAACGCACACCGCTTCCAGAGCCATACTCATGTGCATCATCATCACGACCATCATCACCGTCATTCCTATGATAACTTTTCACCATCATAACCTGCCATCAGCGCGTGCTGGATGATTGGACATTCATGGTCGTTGAAGCTCGTAGGCACGAGTTGTCGGTGTCGTTGTCATCAGCGGCATCAGCAATCATCACCACTGAAATTGGTGACATTCACGAGACGACTCCGAAGAGGTGAAGATCGAGGATGTGGAGAACTATGAGGAAGTTCTGCAGGAGGTTGAGCAACAGCTGCGCAGCCCCGCCATGTTCTCGTTTCGATGGGTGCTGGTGAGTTAAGGATCAAGTGCCAACTTTATGCTGGATTTGCTTGACTTCAAAGGTCGGTTTTGCGAGGTAAAGTGCAGATTAGGCTTCAGGAAGCCAAGGGCCCGACCAGGTAAAAAAAATAACCGTTTAAGCCTGATTGGCTCGGCACCGAGAAGATCAGGGATGTAGAGCGTAGACTGTCTGGCGAGAGCTTCGGGTTCCTACTCTGGTCTCGAACCTCGCAGATCATTCGAGCAGCTGCTAGATCGCTTAGTTTGCTCGGGCTCTCGATGGCTCTCGCAATACAGGCTGCAGGTCCCATCCAAGCAGCTGACCCTACACTGGATGTAGCTCAATACAGCTTGGCTCGGCACCTCACAAGCAAGATCCTCACACTGTCAAAGTCTGTGCAGTATCGGCTGTAAAGAAAGAAAGAGAAACCCACTAGAAGAGAGCCAGGTGATCTGTGCGATCCGCACAAGGCCGTTGTGGCTTTGTTTGTACCTTCTTCCTGTACTCTGCAGAACTCGCAGATGCTAGCGTTCCTGCCAGCAAGCATAATCAGCGGACTCAGCGGGTTGCCGACAATGTCAGGCCTGTGGTACCGCGCAATGTTTGGACACCTAACGACAGCTTATGACATCTTATTCGATCCACGAGCTTCATGATGTCGCAATGCTTCCCACGCACAAAGAAAGTTCCGGCTCAATTTCCAGTGCACTTCGATGTTGGTTTATCTCGTAACACGACTGAGTCCATACCGTCCTAATTGCATTGGTCTCCGGTACCCCGAATCGGACGGCCTTGCATACAAGCTTGTTCCGCTCTTGCTTGCACTCATGCTGATGGCTGTGTTGTCGAGCAGGTCGCTGCGCAGGTTGGGCGCATGTCCGCCGAGTACTCATCCCCCTTTGAGTCGCCGGAGAAGGCCACACAGTGTATCCTCCTCACTGCTACGAAACGTGTTTGCAATGCCTGCAGGCAGGCGCATTTTTCCTTGCCACTTGCATCCGTGCCCCTGCAAGCAATCCCAGCACAGCTGAGTCGACTACTCTTCGTCAGTGCTGACATCACTGGGTTTCGAAACCGTTCCTGTTTAGATTGGCAGTGGCCGCAGGTTTCGGCCAGAGCAAGATGGTTTTGTTTAAGCAGCACATCTTGTTGCGACACCCTGACCAAACTACATAAGCCAATGTTCCCCCTAGCAACGGCTTGTTCCCATGGTTGCTTTCACTCAAAGGTTTCATGTCTGCCGGTCTCAGTTTTGGCCGAAATGATCGCCTGTGAGACCTTGGTCGGGTTGACTCGTCATCGTGCCTCCCTACACAAGGGCGATATGTTACGACACTTTAGGCTCATGCCCCCAAAGGGATCTCTTTCGCTTGTGTGTGCGAGCCTCGTGGCGTGGAAACCTCACTTCGAGTCCAGGCAGCAAAGAGAAAAAAAGAGGAGTACAACCTGCAGCTGGTTGAGTACGAGATTACCGAAGGCCACTTGCCTAAAAATTGCAGCCACCGCTTTGCAGCGAGCGTAAAAATCTGTGGATTTGTCTTGTTCCGGTTTCGTTGAGCTTTCGAGGATGTGTCACAGTCGTTGTTTGCCCTGTGTCGTCACAAAGCAATCAGGGACTCCGGCAGTGCTCCTTAACAAGAACCCCAAAAGTATAGTCAGCAAGTTCTCCACGCAGGCGTCTCGCAGGTTTTGGATTCTTCAGAAGTACTCTTATCCGGTATCTGGCTGCGTTAAGATGATGTACCTCAACCGCTTGGCCCGTGCACGACTTTCTCCTACTTCACGTTAGACCTGGAAGTGGTCACTGCAACACAGCCAGCAGCCCTGGCCTTGATCAAAGTCTTATCCTCGAGTCCTGAGCGCTGGCACGTCCTGCGAGGAAAAGGCGGCGTGAAATCGGGTGGAAAGAAGGTCAAGAAGTCGTCTTACCGTGTTATCAAGGACCTCCAAGATTGGCGTGAGTTTCCCCATCGCTTCGATCCGACTGCCATGTTGACCGAAAGCAGCCTAGCCTACACAATTCAACCAGCATGATAATAGGTCTATACTGTATACAGTGGTATACACACGTATATGTATGTGCTGTACATGTATACATGTTTGCAAACATGTTTGCGAGATTCATCCGTGCGTGTACTTGTTTTGTGTAGTTTTCGCGTTATTTGCCTATACATGCACATGTACAGCTATATGCACTAGGTCTGATGTAGGTGTGTTCACATGTGTGTGTGTGTGTGTGTGTCTCTGTGTGTGTCTGTGTGTCTCTGTGTGTCTCTGTAGAGTTTTGAAACAGATTTATCTGTACAGCCTCAACGTGTGTACATCTTGTAATTGGTTTTGACGCTACACTGACAAGTTCAAGTTGGACGAGAGAAAGCATGCAGAGCACCCTGTCCGGCTTACACGTGGGCCTGATGAAGTCTCGGTGCATCCCTACGATGTGATGGACAGGACGACTATCCATTGATCTACCACTTGGACGTCGGTGCTATGTCCCGGGCTTGGCTTGGACCTATCACGACAGGGGGTGGGCATTGGGAGCTTGCAGTTTGCATCCTGGCTTTGCACAACAGTTCAGAATCAAGGCACCTGCCCAGGCACATCGAGTGCGTGTGTCTCAAGACTTACCTCCTGGGTCGGATAAGGTATCCGAACATCATCCTCTCGAATCGGCTGCAACCAATGGCAATCGCGGGAAGCTCAAACCTCGTGCTTCGAGTTCAACTGCAGTTGTTAACCAGAACATAAACGCTTCATTGTGTCCTTGAGCTCAACAGCTTTGCTTGGCACACGTCGTTTCAAAGGGCGCTGTTTACAGATAATGATTGTACAAGAGGTTTGAAGCAGCTGTGACTCGGGCATGCTGCTGTTGTCGATTATTGTCGTTGTCTTCGTTGTTTGACTGGCAGCAGTATTCGGGGTGTTGGCTGCTCTTGTGCAATCCTTTGTCGCTTGCACAGGTCACCAAGGAGTTCTGCAACTCCTGCACCTACAATGCTTCTTCCAACAAGCTCGGGCACTCAGAGAGGAACCTGCGGGGTTGGTGCCCCGAATCGATATACATGGGTGGATGGCTGAATCACAAGATCGGGACTCGGCGTGACCCACGTGTGCTTTGGCTTCAGAGCCCTTGTTGTAGACTGAAAACACGTGCATTCTGCAGATTGCAGCTCAGCTGGAGTTCGTTCACGTCCCAAAACCCTCGGGGCCGACCGACTTGACCCCCGAGCTCAGCTTGAAGCCTGCGCCGAGTTGTCAGCGGTCGATGGACTGGAAGTGGCGTGGTGACCTCTACATGGCCACGAGGCCCGGGATGATAAGGCCTTGTGGCTTGGAGGGTTGAGGCTGAGGGCCAAGCAGAAGAAACACTCGGGATCGCGATGCACATGCTTCCTCTTCCTGCCTTTGCGGCTTTCCAATCATTGCACCACTTCTCCTTGTCTAGCGTCGATCAAGTACCGTAGCTGCTGTAATCTCACTTCTACTTCTTCTTTCCCAACTCCTACCTAGTAACCTAGTAACGTCACTGCAACCACTATACCAGCTCCTCACAGTATCTTTAACCAAGCACAACGATTCGTCTAATGAAACTCGAGGGCCGATGTGCGCTCGATCGTCAACGAGATGGAGAGCGACAAACGCCGGTACAACCATCAGGACGCGGACAGACGCGGCTGCACTGGTGTTTTTAGGGCAGATCGAACCACTGGAAGCGTGGATCCCTCAGCGTCAGACCCATGAGCCTGCCCTTTCTGAGAGCCCGAGGACAAGGAAACCGGCGAGACGCATCGAGTAAAGCGCCGCTCTCGGGATTTTGGCAAAGCTTCGAAGTCCAATCTTAAGCACGTAGGAGTTTGCCTCATCGTTGGTCTTGCTGTAATTTGCGAGTGCCAATTTGTTAATGCAGGTGGAGCGAGCTAAAAGAGGGGGAACAGGTCGCTGAGATCACGAAGGCCCCTGTCGGGATCGAGCTCATTGCCAGGGCCCTTGTTTTCAACTCGGCATGCCTGAGGTCTTCGAGTTGTATACTCGAGGTTTGGAAAGTGGCCAGTGGCGGGCCAGACTTCTAGAGCTGGCGCTCACTTGCAGCTTCAAACAAGTCCGCATCCTTTGGGCAGTCTATCGTTATTGATTATTGCGACATGCACGGAGAAAGTCTACATAAAGCGTTTACTTGGGAAAGCCTCTTTGCACTCGAGTGAGGCTTCGTGTGGGATAAGAGCCGGCCCGAATTGCCGAAGCGAGATCTGATCCTGAAACTCTCCGAGTCCCCTTGGAGAGGCCGTGCGGCAATTCTCGCAACGCGCCTACAAGCGCCTCAAAAGCTCTGTGTACGAGGACCGAGAATTGTCCGTGTAGCGGCACTTCAGCTGGTTGGCGGCCTTTGCCCATCGCCATGCTGTTGCACCGATCTGTAGATCTGCCGGCGCAAGGGATCAAAAACTCTTGCTAAGATGGGTTGTGCCATGTTGTGGCTGTAGTTCGCAGCTCGAAGTCACTCATGTACGCAAGCCGAGTTTACAGGGACTCATGGGGTGCTCGCCTTGATGCACCTGCATCACTACAAGACAGATCATTGTCAGCATCATCGTCATCATCGTCCTTTCCCCCCTGAATCACCCAGATCGTCATCTGCATCATTATCGCGAGATACGACATGAGTATCAACATGCTAGTACTGAAGATCTGCAAGCGTCAGGATAGAAATGACATCGTGTGCCAACGCGAGAATCCTTTCTACGTGAACACAGCGGGACCCTCATTGCAATGCTTTTCCGAGCCCAGAAACGTGGCGAGCAGTTCAGACCGCTGGTCACCTCGCCATAGTTGTTTCATGCTTGTATTATTTGCTATCTGAGCCGATACCCGCATCGTCCAGGTCCTCAACTTCCGTGATCGCCGCTACATGTTCAAGCGCAAAGCCAGGGCCTCATTGGTGGCAATTGCACGGTTCGGGGCGGCCCCTGCGAGCACGTGCGCCTTTATCCGACACACCAGACATGTAGAGAGATGGCAGGTAAGAAACTTGAGTCAGAGATGGCGGTCTAGTCATTCCCGCTCTCCAAGCTGGGCACAGAGCCCAAGGGCCTGACCTGGTTGGACGGGCATGCCGACGATTGGTCCATGAAGCTGCTGAACTTGGTTTCCGAAGCGCACCGGTGCCGCCACCAAGACCAAAGAATGGAACAAGAAGCTCGAGAAGGCTGAAGAGAGCCGGGGTCCCCAATGGCACTTGAGGGGAAGGATTTTGTCATGGACTGCCAGCGGCCTTGAGGGTGTTAGGGTGGTTGAGCTCCAGCTCTAAGTCTTGGCAACCTTCCAGCATGGGGAGTGCCTGTCGGTGTTGGTTGGTGTCATACTGCTCCGCTGGTCTCCATCCAATTTCCTGTTCCCTTCTCCGCATCATGTTGTCTTGCATCTGATTGCCCATCATGACCAAGTCCTGACTTCACATGCGTGCGTGGCGGTCAAACTATGGAAAGTCTGCCTTCAAGCAGTGGTAAAGATTGATTTCCTGCCGTTTCCGTCGTGCTCAGGCAGTTCTTGCACTCAGGGCCCGCCGAAGCGTCGACATGGAATCCAGTCAAAACACCAAGCAAATCAGCACCATTGAAACTCTATATCTATCATGGATTGCAGGGACTCAGGCGCCGGGTTTCAGATGATCAGAGGCACATGGGAATAGTTGATGCAGGCACAGGCCTTCAACCCTAAAGCCCTACACGCACAGCCGCAGAGCACTTCATGAATGGACTTCGTGCGATGTGGCTTCCTGGGAATTCCTGGGCTGACATCCCCTCCTCGAAGGCCACGGCCTTGTAGTCTCAGCAAGTATTCTTGACTGAGCCATAGCCTTAAACCCAACCTTTCCAATTTCGTAGGCAGTACCCTGTCCGGAGACAATGCGGCCGGAGCAGCCGGCCGTGCGAGACTGAGCAGCTGATATACGTGTGACTCAGGTGTCAAAACAGGCGAATCTGCATGAGACTGTTGTTTGGG